CGGAGGTAAGAAAAATATGCAGAGGGACGGGCTAACCTATAGTGATGAAGGAGAAAGGCGGCGTGTCTGTGGACGGAGGAGGACGGCAGTAGGCTGGTGGTTGCATCAGAAGTTGCTTCGTTCTTTGACGGAAAACCAGTCCGGCGGCCACTCCGACGAACTCCGGTGAAGCTTTTCTCCCTCGTTTCATGACCGTTTTATACGATTCTTTCACCGTTGGATTCCTCTCACGAAGGGGGAGGTTATTAGAGTGATTTCAAGGCTCGATTGTTAGTATAACGTTGGGTAGGATTTCGCCTTAGTGTATATATATATATATATATATATATATATATACATACGTCGTATATACGTATATGTATATCATTGTTGGTGCTATGAAATTCAGAATAAACGCAGGCGAAGGGTGTTATTTATAGGTGAAGGTCGAGGGTCCAGGCTGTGTTAGAGTTTGTGTAGAACTCGTTCTTATCTTCGTTAGGTATAACCGATCGGTTTGGATGGATCAGTTTGGCCGGAGTTTTTATTGCAGTTCTTCAGTTCTGGTCCTCTAGTATTAGTATACTTCTGTATCTAGACATCTTGCTGCTTGAGGCTCGTCGAACGTTTAGTTGTTATATGAAGTTTTATTACAAAGTGTTATGAGCCATGATTTATCATGTATGCTTGGTCTCTATTAATTAGTACGTGTATGTACATGAGCTATTTATTTGATATTTTACTTTTTAACATTTAAAACACATATTGGGTATTTTTTTATACAAAATTAGAATATGATTTTTACTTATGCCATATGTATTACCGGTACTAGATATAAAACGTTACTTCTATTATCGGACCATTTTTATCAGACTAAACATGACACAAAATGTTAAATTTTTGTCTGGTCACTTATTTAATGAAATATTTTTTTTATCTGACTAAAACGTCGTAAATTTTGAAATTTTATCTGATTGGAATGTCACGATTGTTGATTTTTTTTTTTGTTTGACTCACTTAATAATTAAAATGTCGTTTCCGTAACATTTTATCTAACTAAAAAAAAATATTTTATTTATTTATTTTTTTATTTTTTTATTTTTTTCGAGGTGTCACACCTGGCCCATTTCCGGGTGAGCTTCATGGCCTTAAAACTATGGCACAGCCTCCGGTAAATGAGCTTTTGCATCCACTGTTAGCCCATGTCATAGTACACCTTCATTTCCCTCTCGAAGTACTCTTGGCCTTCAGGACTGTGCTGGCCCCAATCTTCGAGCTTGGCTGCCACGACCTCAAAACACCAAGGCCGACGCTCCTCAGCTTTCCAGTCGTCGGACAAGAACTTCTCAATGGCAGCGTCGACAGCTTTCTCTGCAGCAGCCTCAGCAGCCTGCTTGGCCTCAACTCTGATCTTCTTGGCCTCAATAGCGCGACAACGAGTAGTCTCACGCGCTTCCTTCTCCTCGGCCAACTTTTTGAGGGCATCATCCTTATCTGCAATCAGCTGGCGAATGGCCGCATCAGCATCATCAGCTTTCTTTTTCAGGGCCTCCACATCACCCCGTAGCCGATCCAGGATGCTTAAGGCCTCATCGGCCGAAGCAGCCTTCTGCTCAATTTCCCTCAGCCGATCAATCTCCCGCTCCTGCCTCTTGTGGCTCTCCATCAGCATGTTCAAACACTGTTTGACACTGTTTGGCACCGTTTTGCACTGTTCAAACACTGTTTGGCACTGTTTTGCACTGTTTGACACTGTTTTGATGTAGATAATTTGCCAAATAAGAAAAGTAAGGAAGTATGAACTTAATTTAGGGACTGCCCAAAAAAGAAAATGGTAACTTAATTGAGAAACGGACGGAGTAATTCTTTTTAGGCTACACGTCGAAGGACCGACTCTTTTGTGCTACACACTGCTACACATGAGTTTTGATTTTTTTAACTGCTTTCTCATTAATCTTTAAGCAACTGCCGTGTCCATACGCCTTTCTATTTTTGTTTTCCTTTGTTGTAACTTATAATGCACCGTATGAGAATATGAGATGGACTTCCACTCATATCTTTAAATTAAAAAAAGTCTGCGATGAGAGGTTACTATGCTAAAAAATGAGAATGTGGCTTACCCAAGGCTATTACAACCTTTACCCATTCCAGAGGAAGTTTGGGTAGACATTTCTTTAGAATTCATTACAGGATTACCAAAATCTGGGGGAAGGGGGTAATCTTGGTAGTAGTGGACAGGTTGAGTAAAGCAGCTCATTTTGTGGCTTTGGCACATCCATTCACTGCAATAGAAGTGGCTCAGGCAAACTTGGATAACATATTCAAATTGCATGGGTGGCCTAAGAGTATAGTAAGTGACAGGGATGCTATATTCTTAGGTCAGTTTTGGAAGGGGTTGTTTTCTATTCAAGGCACTCAGTTTAAACTATCATCAGCCTATCATTCACAAACTTATGGTCAAACTGAGATAGTGAATAAATGTTTGGAGTCTTATTTGAGGTGCATGTGTAGTGAAAGACCAAAGGAGTGGAGTTTTTGGCTTCCACTAGCAGAATGGTGGTCTAATACACACTTTCAAACGTCACCCGGTACTACTCCATATGAGATCATGTACAATCAACCACCTCCTCTTCATCTTCCATATCTGCCTGGAGATTCCAATGTTGAAGCTGTAGACAGGTCTATGCAAAGGAGGGAAGAAATGTTAAAAAGACTCAGGGAAAATTTGGTTAAAGCTCAATCCAGGATGAAACAGATGACTGATAAAAGAAGAAGTGAAAGAGATTTTTGATAGGGGATTGGGTCTGGTTAAAGCTACAGCATTATAGGCAACAATCTGTGCAGCCAAGGAGTAATCAGAAGTTGGCTGCAAGATTCTTTGGACCATTTCAAATCAAAGAAGTTATTGTGAAGGTTGCTTATAAGCTCAGGCTACCAAGTGATTCTCAAATACATGATGTTTTTCATGTTTCACAACTTAAGAAATTCAGGGGGGTTACCTATTGCTGCCCATATTCCAGCATGGTTCAATGGACAAGATGCAGAACTTGTACCTCAGCCGGAAAAGATCTTGGAAAGAAGAAGTGTCAAGTTTCAAGATAAGGTGCAAGTGCAATTGTTGATACAATGGAAGGGCTTTACTATGGAAGAAGCAACATGGGAATCAGCTGATCATTTCAGGAAGCAATATCCTGAGTTTGATGTGAGCAGAAATACAGCATGACTTGAGGACAAGTCAATTGTTCTAAGGAGGGAGGAATGTAACGGTAGTCTTAGCTACCGTTAAGTGTTGTTAGTTAGTTAGTTAATACATATGTTACTTGGTTGTTATATCTGTAAAAACTAACTGGACTGTACATATATAAAGAAGGTGATCACATCAATAAAGTTCAGTTTTTGCTTATTATTCATTTCCGATCATCCTTATCTTTCCTTAAGCCATTTCCATGGCGTTCGTTGATTACCTACGCTACCGCAATTAACAGTTGAGTTAGGCTCCTGTTACAAGCTGCGGCAGAGCGGAAGTGAAATCTGCATATCTCCAACGAGAGGAATTACTGCAACCGTTCTCCAATGGCCTTCTTTGATGGCAAAACATGAAACGAATGTTTGTGTCGGCCGCTGTTGTACAAGTACAAAAGGGTACTTTTGTCCTCGCGTCCAAAATTAGTCTTATTTAGGTATTAAAAAGTTCCTAATCCTGTTTAGGTTGTGTTCAGGAGGAGCTTTCAGCCAAATATTGGCTAAAATTTTATAAATTCAGCTAATAACCGTATAAGTAGTCCTGTTTGGGGGAAAGACTGAAGCAACCTGAAGCTGAAAGTAATGGGCTGAATAGAGACGTTGCCTAACCTAATGTTTCTATCCAGTCCATGGGTTAATAGCCGTGAATGTCTAAATTATCCCTGTGTCGGTTCGTCCTTGCTACACAAAATTCATCTCTTTACTGTTGTTTCTGCATATTTCTTCTGATTTCGTAGCCCTTAGGTTCTAGTCAGATTACAGAGGACAAATAGAACCCATACCGTGTTGATGCTCTGCTGGGAATGATTGGGATGTGGATGCAGCCCCCTGCTCAAATCGATGGAAGATGGGACACTGCATCCTCACCGGTGGTTGTACAATTGTACCGGGTGTGGTGGCCGATGAAGATGGAGATGGAGAACTTAATTCCAGATGCTGATGAAGATGGAGAGTTGAATTGATGGTTATGGTGCATACTTCCGGAGTTCTGGTCTTCCACAGGCCATATTGGTGACGTTACTAATGTTTTGTTTTTCTTTTACATATTGTTGTAACACATGAAAATATAGATCGAGCTTATACATTTCTCCCGTTTAAATATTACGTAGTACTATAATTTCAATATTTGTTAAAAGAAAATATCATTATCTTAAATATTTTTGAGTAATAAATTTTATGCCTATGAATGTAATTTTACATTTTTCAGCCATTCGTTCAGCTCTTTTCGCCAAACACATTTACTTCATTCAGCTAGCAATTCAGATTCAACACTTCAAATTCAACTTCAGATAATAGTCTATGATTCAGACAATAGCTCCCAATCCAGACATTAGTCTTCAGTTGCAGCTAGTTGTATCAAACATAGCCTTAAATTCGCAACATTAGTTTTGGTCCTATCTAAGTCTTTCTCCCTATAATGAATTAGTCATCATCTATTATTCATGATTAGAAGAATTGTTATCATTATTATCAAAGAATTATGAAATCATAATAATGATTCTAAGATGATAACTATGTGACTCACAATTATTCCTTATTCTAAAGGAACTTTAATTACTTTTCTCCTGTAAATATGGGTCGTTCTCCTTATGATATACTCCGTATTAGCCAATTCAAGAACAATTGAGTATCATTAATATGATCCTCCCTAATTTTCTGCTTATTTCTTTTCATTTCATAACAAATTATATACCGTATAATTTCCCTTTTTAATCTAATCTAGGTTATACAAAAGTAATTTTACAAAAGTAATTTTACTTCTTTTCCTTCTCCGGACCCTTTTGATAAAAATTCCCTTTGATCCTCCTTTCTTCTTTGCGTTGCATTCGCCCAGTTCCTTGACTTCCTTCCACACGGACGCTGAACTGACCAAGAAAACTGGATTGGATAAAGTTTATCTGACATTTAGTGTAGCGCAGGAACCCGACTAGCAGAACTAAAGGGAATTGGCCAACCTCGTCACATTCATCCTCAGCTGCTAAAAGCAGGATACCGCCGATCGACGGCATAGCAATGGCGGCAATGGTAGCTCTGCAGAGCTCTCTTACGTCTCTATCTCTCTCCTCCAGCTCCTTCATAGGTCAACGTCTCTCCCCTCTCAGCTCACCTCCGGTATGTACGCCCCCTTCTGTGAAATTATTTACCAATTTCGGACATGGCGGCACTAATCATTGGTCATTTGTGATTTCTTGTAAACTATCTCGCTATTCTTGACTCCGGACGCTAAAATATAGCGGAATCGTCCTCAAAAGCGTTTATGCATATTAACGTTCCGGCTTAAGAATAATTGCTATCCTAAAAAGCTGCGGTCTTTAGTAAAGCATGAAATATCCTTATTGTTGGGTGGATTATACCCATGATATTGGGGCTAGAAGTGCTACTTATGCAATATTAGGTGATGAAAAAGAGGTTACTAATCTAAAAAGAGATATGTAATGGATTATAGAATTATGAAAATGAATCTCTAACCACAAAGAAACTGTGATATGTTCCAGCTATTTAGCATTGCTCGCTCAGTTGTGAATCTCCTTCATTTTCCCCGGTTGCCACTGAATATATGGGAATTAATTAATTAATTGACCTATAAGATATGTTTAGAATATAAGGGAATCTCAGAAGGCACATGATCAGACAAGACTCAGGGTTTGTTCTAATGTTTATGTTAAAAGCTACTACATTTTATAAGGTGAAATTATTGATGAAAATACTTCTACTAAAAACAATGCTAAGAGAAATTGTAGATGACACTTGGAGGTTCTCTCAGAATTACTTAGTGCTTTTTACCTTTGTAAAGGAACATATGAAATGTAAGTCAAACATGATCCTATTTGTGAAATTGTTTGTGTTCCACAGGTAAGGTTACCAAATGTTTGTTTAGACTCCATCTCTCATCAAATATTAGATCATCTTCTCTCATTTTCTTAATCGGTGGATTTTGTAGCTATTAGAGTGAACATTTTCCTAACTATTGGTATTGATTCATTTTTGGTACCTTAGCTTTTGAAAGAAGTAAATTAAATCCCTAAGTACATTTAAGTGTCTTAGTCAATCGTTCCATTTGGAATTCCGGCGAAAAAATGTCTCAGCCCATGGTGCCGTTTGAAACTTTCTGCCAAAATAGTCCTACTTCGGCTAAATATTACATGCATTCCCCAATAAGTATGTGTAATTAACTATTTAATATATCTGGGTAAGAGTTATCCACCTCTTACCTCACTGGTTTTAGTAGTTTTTTATGGGTAATAGAAAAAATAATCCACCGAGTTGATGAGGACATCATAAGTACAATTCTCATGTATTGTGATGATTAGACAAGCTTGTCTGGTTTTGTTCTGAATCTGTCAGACCATTAAGTCTGAAATGAGTTTGGTAAAATTGATTATATGAATTAATCAATCACCCATACTCTTAGTCAGATTAGTTTTGCCAAATTTTCATTTGGTAAGGTCAGCTGAAGCAATTACATATACTTGGGGTACTGATTTGTTTCATCTAATAGTTGAGATATCAAAGCACAAAACTACCAACACCAAGTCACCAATATCAGTAGTTGTGGTATGATAGGAATCTGGGTTTAGTAGGCTATTAATAAGAAATAATAATAATAATAATAGTAAAGGTAAAGGTACTTGTAGTAGTATTAATAGAAGGGAGGGGGGTATTAGTAATATCTGGCATATCCCTGTGGATAATAGCTATAAATAGAAGGGGGAATAGCTAATTGAGGCAGGCTGTTATTTTGTTGGATGTCAGAACATTGGAGATTGGGCCTCTCGAAATCGCCCCTGAGCATTGTATCCCTGTGATCGGTTCAGTTGGTTAATAAAGTTTACGATCATCTTCCTTACCTTTCATCTTGTGTTTACTATTGATATTATCATTGCCTATCATGGTACCATTTATGCTATTTACTGGATAGCTATTTAGGTACTCTCTATAGTTATTTGCACTAAAACTTTGGTTGTTTATTCAATTGTATTCTTTACAATGTGTAATAGGGGTAATAACAGGCTTTTTTTGATAATCTTCAGGTTAAGCCAAATCAGAAGTCCTTTTCCATTGCTGTAAAGGTATGTATTTGCACTGTTTACTTTTGATGTTGTTTTATCTTTCTATTTTCCTACGTTTTATGAGTTCTCTGATCTATTTTGCGTGCTTATATATATATCCCTTCTAATATTATGCATTTGTTGTGCTTTTCCTCTTTGAGTCAGTGTGAGGTATGGTGCGTATTCATTCAACTGGAGATAGCAAATAAATAAATAAATAAATAAACTGAAATTACATCCTTTTGAATTTTTTATATTTGGATGTGCAGGACATAAACATTAGTACATCACATGGAACTAAAAAGAATGTCACGTTGTTAGGCAGCAGATTTATCGCCGTTCACCCTATAGTGTTTGTTTTTAGGTATTATATATGCTTTCAGAAAATTGAGTCTTAGACACACTTCGGTAAGGCCTAAAATGTTGAAGTGATTCAATAAGCTGAAGTGGTCTGGCTCAATATGCTGATTTATCTACAAGGAGAAAGTTATTTAAAGCTGAAGGCAAAAATGTTGTTTGCTTTGACTTCAGCCATTTCTGAAGCAGAGTAACTTCATCACTGTTTGTTTTTATTATTATTGTGCCATAGCCGTAAAATAGGTTAGTGGTTAGTAAAAAAGCTGATATGGGTGATAAGATGAAAATGTGGTATGTCAAAAGGACCCTTAATTTCTTTCTGCTACTCTAAACATGTTCAAACAATCTGCAAATACTTGATGAATTAATACTGTGCATATCGTTACATATGAGCAGCTTAAGAGATGGGAGCGCAAAGAGTGCAAGCCAAACAGCCTTCCTATGCTACACAAACTACATGTTAAAGTTGGAGATACAGTGAAAGTAATAGCAGGGCATGATAAAGGTAAAATTGGAGATGTCGCCGAGGTTATAAGGCATAACAGCAAAGTTATAGTGAAGGACATTAACTTGAAGACCAAGCATGTGAAAAGTAAGCAAGAAGGTGAATCCGGTCAGATAATTAAGGTTAGTTTACCCCTTCGTTTCTCAAAAAAGAAAAAAGAAAGAGCAATGTTTTAAAAAAACTTTTGACGTTACAAAAATGTCTACTTTGAACAAAAGAAACCAATATTCATGTAATTTTCAAAATTGAGAAACTAGTGAAGTTCCATTCTACGATAAGAATAGTAAGTACAAATAAGGTTAGTTAATATGACTTGTACGGTTGTACCTGAACCAAACTTGACTTTTGGGGGGAGGGGCACCGGATTTCTCAAAGAGAAAAGAAAGAGCAATGTTTCAAAAAAAATGATGTTATAAAAATGTCCAGTCTGATTAAACGAAACCAACTTTAATGTAATTTTACAAAAGAAAGTTAAAAACTACGTAGTAGTAAAGTTCCATTATTTGATAAAAATAGGTCAGAATACAAATAAGGTTTGTTAAATATGACTTGTAGCTGGACCAAACATGACTTTTTGTGGGGGTACTAGATTTCTCAAGTTCTTTAATCTTTTTCGTTGTCAAGTTTTGTTTGAAAATCCACTTTTTTGGTTTAAGAATATAAACAAAATAGTACTCCCTGCAGTTCATGATAACTGAAGTTTTACTCTTCATTGGCTACTTCATTTACTTGCCTTCTAAATCGTAATTGTAGTATTATGAGTCGTCTTCACTAATTGGAGAGAGAATATAGATTCAGGGTGTTGTAGGGCGCTCTAATGTGTTAAACCTCCCAAAATGGCACTTCTTTTGTAACTTGAGGGAGTAAATATGATGACGATGTAGCAACAATTTTTATAATTTTTCAGATTGAAGCACCCATTCATAGCTCAAACGTGATGCTCTACTCAATGGAGAAGCAAGTAACAAGCAGGGTGGGGCATAAAACACTAGAGAATGGGAAACGGGTCCGCTACCTAGTCAAAACCGGTGAAATTATAGACAGTGCAGAGAATTGGAAGCGCGTGGTGAAAGAAAAAGAGAAATCAAAAGAAGAAACTACTGCTGTTGCTTCTTCTTCTTAGAGTGCATTCTCCAAATTTTCTTTTGCATCCCTTCTTTCTATTCTATCCAGTTCTTAATTATTGGCAACTCTGGATTCCAAAAATGTCTGAAATCGAAAATAGCTGTATGGTATCTTTTTTTTAAAAGGTAAATCAGAACATACGAGATCAAATAGTACCCCTGCTCACACATTCCGTTAAGTAGAGTTCCAAATTTAATCGGTGAACAGTGCTACAAAAGAAGATTCAAACTGAAAAGCTTAGGTGATGAAATTATTATGAGTGAATTCGCTTAAATATATACTACACACCAGTAGCAGTAGTTCTTTTGCCAAGCATTGGTTGACGGAGCCCAAATAAAAGAAGTCTCTTGCACCATTAATTACACGCAATTGTTATCTGCCCCTTATTTTTGTTTGCCGCAGCACGCAGGTTGACCACTAATAAACTACTGGTTTTAGTGATTCTCTCTTGAAGCCAATTGTATTTGGAAGCTTTTTGTATGAGGTAGGAAACCCCGTTGGAGGTGTCGGGCGGGCTTCGGGCTGAAGGAGTTCAGGCCCAGTACCAGCCCGGGTTTGTACTGGGTCGTGTCGGACCCAAAATGTAGCAGGCCGGGTCGGGCTTCGGGACGGGATTGGCATTCAATTAAAAAACAGTGCAGTCAGGTTGGGCCCAAAAACAAGTCCGAAGCCCGTCCTTATAGCCACTGGGCCGGGTCCTGGGAATGGACCGAACCTATGCAGTATTGCAGTAACAGGAATACTAGACCAAATTAGAGAATATTAATCCAATTAAACATGTTATTATAATGACATTTTAGTTGGACTAAATTCAATCTTAGACCACATAATCAGATTTATATATATCAAATTAGACTTAAATAGATCAAGTCATATAACATTTTCAAAGGAGTAAGGGCACAAGCCCCAAATAACACTTTCATAATTGATTAAGAGTATACATTAATATATACATTTTCCTTTGTAAAAAAAATGCCCCCATCAAATTATTTTGCTTGCCCCCAATTAAAGATAGTTATAAGATATAACATAAATAAAATTTAGAAAACAAATTTGTTGTGTTTAATCCAACACGAAATAGTAAATATAAATATAAATGTGTATGAACAAGCTATTTTAACGTGGAAACCCGAAAGAGAGAAAAACATGGGACTTTTTAGGCTAATGTCCAAGCCACTCTCATTCTCATTAGGCTCTCCTCACCATTTAAAATATACATGTATGAAGCAAATCTAAAGAGAAGTGGATTCTACTCAAACGGGCCAAACAGGCCAAAAGTTAGTATGGATTGGGCTCCATACTAGGGTACTGTCCTGGGCCCCGAAACAGTAGTAGGAGGGATAATATACCTCAACAAAATTCATTACAACATTTGAATTTAAAAATTCTTATTTAAGTCAAATTAATTTAATATGTATCAATTCACCTTAAAAAGTGAAATGCTAGTTACTTACCAAATTAAGCTTAAGTGGTCATGGCTATGAGGACATTTTATACTTTGACACACACACACAAATGTTCATGTCAGACTAGACTGATTAGAAAATGTCAAATCCAAATAAATAAATCATTACAATAATAATAATTTTATTATTACACATATTAAATATTATAAGCGTAAATTAAATTTAAACCATATTGTAGACTCAAAAGGCATACGGAGTATTAAATATTGTAAGCGCAAATTACATTTAAATCATGTTGTAGAGTTTGTGAGAACTATAAAAAATGTTGTAGAGTATTACCATACACCCAAATCAGTATTTCCACATGAAGTGGCGGAACTAGTATATGGCCTGGGGGTGCCGGTGCCCCTGCAAACCTTTTGTTTTTTTATTATACATGGTGGTCTACGATGGGCTTTGTTCGGAATTCTTAGCTCTGCCTCGTGATCTGTCAGAGAAGAAACAGGGTTCGATCGATCGTTGAATTGGTGTGCTGCTGGTTGTACTCAGTATACTCGTTCGAAGAGGATGACCAGAAAAGGCAAGGGGGGCTGTAAGTCTGTTCTTCTCATGGTGGTTATCTATTCGTGCTAGTTTTCGTTTGTGGAATTGTGGAAGGAGTGGAGAAGATGGACCTTATTTGTTGCCGTACTTTTTTTTATTGGAGACCATCTTTTGCTTATCACTTGGAATGAGTTGGACCTTTATTTGACAATTTTGGGCCGACCCTAATGCTTGGGATGCTTAAGAACTACCGGAAATTACCCGCATGATCACCTTTTATACTTGATATATCACGTATGTCCACAATCAAAATACTTTTCACATTTAACTTTCAAATTTTCACTTTTCAATTTTTATTTCAAAAAGAGTCTAATGGCCTAATCAAAACCGAACTCTGCATAGGGCTTCATCTCCCGAAATCTTCTGATTGTTTTCCCTATTTGCCAATCAATCTCCTCAACTGCTTCTCTCAACTTCACTTCAACCGCAGCGTCATAGCTCTCTCAATCCATCTCAACTAGTCTTTCTCCTATCTGTAATTCGATTGTGGAACATATGCTAGGCTTATCGGCACATGTTTTGTTCTTCTTCACCATCGCCTGAGGCTTTGCATATCTTCAATTGATCCTTAGCTTATCAATCGTCTGTTACACGTTGCCTACCTAGTCCTCGACCGGCACGACAGCTCTTATGGCTCTCCGTGTGCCGTAATTGGTCAATTGCCTGGTAGTCTAGATATTTTTAATTTGCTTTTCTCTATGAGTTTGAATTACTAGGGAGTTTTACCAATTAGTTGTTTGATTATAAGCTTTATTTGAGTTTGAATATTAGGGAGTTTTACCGTTTAGTTGTTTTATTTTAAAGCTTGTTTGGATAGGTTTTTATTTGGAGAAAATTATACTACAATGTTCTCAAAACTAATTTGCAATGAAGTATTAATAGGGTTTCAAACCAGTTTTTAGATTATTCTGCAAATGTGCTTTGCAGCTAGTGTGATTGTTAATTGTTATATATGGAGTACTAACTTTAAGATGAAGATAGAAATGTTCAACCACATAAAAGAAAAGTTGTAGAGCAGACCTTACAAATCTGGAAAATGATTGAAATTTATTAACTCTCCATTTTCATAGCAAACATATGTCTTCTAAATTATAGTGGGAATCTAACATAACTACATTCTAGATAAACCTCATAAACTATGTGTTGAGTTGCACAATAGGAAGAAGAAACTTGAAACGCTCTTCATAGCTTTTGTTGGGGATAACCATCTTGGCCTTCACTATATGTTGGGTACGACAGTCTTCAGAAGTTTGAGATTAGGGTCTGTCCCTTTGAGGATAAGTCACTCTTGGCTAATCCTGCAAAGCTGGAGATAATATGATCCCTTTGGATGTCTTTCTTGCCCGATAACTTTCAGAGTTTGCAAGCTGATAGCACAAAAGATGCCTAGGCTGAACATTGAGGTTATAGACGAAAGGGGTCTGTCCGAGTCGAGGTCTTAAGGTGAGCCTTTTGAGAAACTATATGTATATCATTATGTTGCTGACCCAAGATTCGATATGCCCTCATTTGTTTGGAGGGTGGATGAATATCAGAAGAAAAGGCATCTTTGAAGTTTTCTTATTGTCTTCCTCTGCATATTATATGTGCAAAATAGGGCGGGAATGCTTTCTGTGATTGAAGAGCATGAGTGGAATGGGGAGACAGATGATCTTGGATGTGTATTGGGGGGGTCTGATGCCCAATTTCGTTTTGTACTGATGCCCATTTTTTGTATAGCATTTATAGTGACTATTAAGAGTAATACACATTTTAAGACAATAATTTCTTTTGTTTGTATTATTGTTATTACTTCGTATTATTTAGAGTTGACCTGTTATTTCATCAGTAAAAAATATAATACGTAAATGCAGTAATTGTATAATTTAATAAATATTCGTTGCAATACTTTTATCTGTATTTTGTTGCTTTTTGTTTCTTTTTTGTGTTGCTTTTTATTGCATTGTATTATTTTTTGTTGTATTTTGTTGCTTTTTGTTGTCCATTGTGTATTGATTGTTATTGTTGATTTTTTATTTTTGTTTTTTAGATTTCTATATACTTTTTCTACTTTGGAATAAAAAACAACACACAAATTATAACAAGAAACATGAATAAACAATAAGAAACAAAATTTGCAAATAAATCAACAAAATGAAACACAAAGAAACCACTTGCAACAAAAATAAATATAAAACAGCCACTTCATAATAATTAAATTTATAACTACTTAAAAATGCATAATTTTTAATTTTTTTCTACATATATTGTAAATGTTTATATTTTTGATAGGTCTTTGTTTTTTCTATATCTTACTTAGTTTTTTTTTTAAATAACCACTTTTCTTAGAAGTTTTGGATTTTTATATTTTTATATAATTATTTTGTATTTACAATTTTTACTTCTGTCAAATATAATTTTTTATATTTTTGACAGTGTAATTTTTACAAGTGTATATTACCTAGTTTTTAAAAAATGCATTATGAAAAAATATTTTTTATGTTTGCAAACATTTTTAACTTTCTTAAACATTTTTATATTTTATTATTTACTTTTGTATTTCTAGAACTTTATGTATTATGATTTTAAATGAATTTTACTATTTTACGTAGTACATGTTTATTTGCACTTCTCTGATTCATTTTTTAATTTACATTTTTTTGACAAATTTCTGTATTTTTTTCAATTTTTGAATTTTCCTATTTTGGACTTTCATTTTTTTTCAGAATTTATTGTTTTTTGTTTTTAACTTTTTGATCAATCTTAACATTTTTTCCGATTTTTACATTATTGTACATTTTTAATATTTTCTATTATTTTTAGTATTAATTGTTTTAATACTTTTTACATTTTCGTATATAATTACAATTTTGTTTTTAATTATTTTGATATTTTTATATTTCCATTTTTCTTTTGCATTTTTACAATTTTCTATTTAAAAACTTAAATTAAGCAAATCCTGGAGCATAGCTTGTACTCCGTATTATTTTATGAAACAGGTGCACTAAAGAGGAATCTTGATGTGCGCTTCTCCGAATTTCTTCGGAGTAGATTCCAGCGGATCAGTATTATGCTTTTACATGAACACTTGGTCTATTTGTGAAAGAAAAAGTCACTTAGTCTATTTTTGAGTATAAATTTTAAAAGTGAAAAAGGTGATATTACTTTCATGTTTAAGTTTGCTTGTGATATTTTCCCTAAGAATTATTCAAAGGTTTGATTTAGGGCGGGGCGGACTTAGGGCACCAGGCTC